AAATAAGTTACACATAGTGGTGTGCTTTGTTATGTTTAGCCAATATGACTGTCAACATTTAGCAAGTGAAAGAGGCACATGCACAATGTCTATGGTCTAGGTAAACTAGATACAAAGGACAGTCATCAAGAGAGATGGAAGTGTACTTCATGAGGATGAGGTGTTTTCTAAAATAAGGGGCTGTGGACTGGGGGCAGTTTCCACTGAATAACAAAATTCACAGTTTATTTCCTTAAAAAAATCATCTTCACTTTTGGATGACCAAGGTAGATGGTACAAATCATCAAGTAAGTAAACACTATTATATTTGGAATTGAACAGAGTAGCCATTGAATCTCTCAATAATAATCTTAAAAAACAATGTTCTGGATATGTCTCAAGGTTGTATCATTTTCTTTCTGGCCACTGCTTAAAGGACATTTGCAGAGGATCAGTCTTGATATAATTCCCACCAGAGCAGAGAAAGGGATTTATAAAATCTTCATAAAATAGATTATAAAATATCTCCATCTGAACCAAAATTTTGGCTATTATCAATACAGACAATTTGAATGAAATAGCAGTCGTCCTAAACTGGGGTCTTTAGCTAAGGGCAAACTTCAAGTCTATTTGTAATATTTGCTTACCTGATTTCAGGTATTACCTCTTGGGATGTGGGAGAACAAAGAAAACTGACATAAATATTATGGTCTTGCATTCTGTGCTCTGTGTCTATGACTTGGAAGCCTGTGTCTATGCATTCTGTGCTCTGTGTCTATGACTTGGAAGCTCTGTGTCTATGCATTCTGTGCTCTGTGTCTATGACTTGGAAGCCTGTGTCTATGACTTGCTGAGCTGCCAAGCTAATTTGCTAGCTTAGACTTAGGAAAGAACATCTCATAACTGACAGTTATTGACAAGCAACAAGTAAAAGGAAATGGGGGGATGAAAGAAATGATATTTTAGGAGAAAAGAAATCAAAATAATAGCTATGGTTTGTCTAATTCTGTATATTAAATAGTCAATTTATTTGAAAATACATTTTCTTAAAGAACTTCTAAGAATTCTTAGAGTTGACTTCTACAATGACAGTATTGATTAAACTGTAGTTTTCAACAATCAGACAGTCTCCACATTAAAATTATAACAAGATAAAATACAATATTAATGATTATGTTTAATTTTTGTAAATTAAAATAAAAACAAATTAAAATTAATACATTTTATTTTCTGCTATTTTTTAATCTAAAAAAAACTCTTTTGAATTATTTCCTCAGGCGAAACTTTAATCACAAGTAGAAAACGGAAATTTTGTCACTCTTTGATGATTTTAGACAGACCATGAACCTTTGATGGTTAAGGATAAGGCAGTTTATGTGATTGAGAATTCAGTTTTCTACAAACAGGAAAATTATTCAAGCTATTTTTCTTCACATTTTCTCTGTGGTGATGACATTCACTTAATTGCAAATCTCTTTATATGCAACCAACATTTTTTCACCTTAAAAACAATAACAAAAATATTAAGCTGTGTTGCAAGATATTTGATTACATTGTGAAGTTATGTCACTCCGATTGGTTTAATAAAAAGCTGAGTGGCCTATAACTAGACAGGATTTCCAGGCACAGAGAACACTGGGAGACGAAAGGAGGAGATGCCAAGGAAGCAGATTAAGCAGAAAGACATGTGAAAGAACATAGACTAAAAGATACAGGTTAATTTAAGTTATAAGAACTAGTTAGAAACAAGCCTAAGCTATCGGCCAAGGTTTCATAACTAACAATAAGTCTCCATGTTGTGATGTGGGAGTTGGCAGGACAGAGAAAGATTGGCAACAAAGTTGTGTATGGAATTCAGGCTTGCTGTAAGAAAGTTAGGAAGTCAAGGAGTCCCCTTCTGTCTGATCCACACAACACATGGCAGGTTACCCCCACACTTCTGTACAGGAACAAGGGGGAAATAAATTTATAATCTCATGTTTTTAATTAAATACGATATTTTCTATGAAATAACTTCACATTTTAAAACATGGATCTTTCACATTAATTTATTTTTTTTAGAATGTTATACAAGAGTACTGTTTATATTACCACCCCTCTTTCACCCATCCAATACCTTTCTTGTCTCTCTACTCCCAACTTACTGAGTCCATTTAATGTTGCTCATTCATTCCCTTCTAAGAGAGCTGGCTACAGTTATTTATTTCATATATCTGGAACTGATCGCATTGCCATTCACTACGAAAACTCAAAACAAATCGAGCAGCTTACAGAATTACAGGTGACATCATAGACAGCATAAAATAAAGAACTGGAGAATAGTACCATTTAGTAAAATAAATCATATTATCAAAGGATGTACTTTTTAGCCAGCAGATACATTATTCTTTAATTTTGATTACTAAAGTGCTCAGCAGTTTGGACTATGATTTCAGATACAAAGAATAAAGGACTTAGGACTTTTACTGGAAGGTATTAATAAAAGTGGTGAGTTCTTTTTTTTGGTTTTGTGAGACAAAGTTTCTCTGTGTAGTTATGGTGCCTGTCCTGGATCTCGCCCTGTAGACCAGGTTGGCCTCAAACTCACAGAGATCTGCCTAGCTCTGCCTCCCTAGTGCTGGGATTAAAGGCATGTGCAACCACTTTCCGGCATGTGCTGAGTTCTTATACATACTCTACCTTCCTTCCTTTCTCTCTCCAGCTCTCCCTTCCTGCTCCATCTCTTACTTGAACTTACAAATTCATTAATATTTTACTTATCCTTTACTAAATATTATATCATGCCATAAAACAGTGTCATTGGAAGGACATTCTGAATTCTAAATTTGAAATATAGTATGAATATTTGTGCTCTAAAAATTACATATACTATCCTGAGACACAGGGTGTAGCAAGTACTGTAACTGTTGTGTCTAATTCAAGTCTGTCATGACCCTCTCCAGCAATATCAATGAGCTCAGTGGTTGAATACTGTTTTTCTTTTTTTTTTTTCCAGCATACTGACTATTTCTCCAAGCCTCTCCACTAACAACCTGTGACTCAGTGTCTCTTTTCCAGCCAATGATGTTATAGACATGAACACCTGGGTCTCATTTTCCAAGGACCTGTCACCCTTTCCTCTGCCTTTATTCCTCCTTCCTAAGTTCAGCTCCTTCAAAATGTTGACAGGACAGAACAACAGTTTCTGATGGTTACATGAGTCAAAGCAGTCTTACCAGCTCACATCTTTATGGAAGAGGAGGCAAAGGTTTTGTCAGGAAACTTACTTGATCATATGTCAGTGCAGCATGTATTATAAATATTCAAATGAGATTTTACTTTTAGAGCTGAGCTTTTGATGAAGTTCTTAATTAGACACATTCAAAAGTTGTCTAAATGTTTTTCGCAGCACACAGCCATTTATTTTGATATTAAAGAAAAATAAATACACAAAACCAGTAAGAGGATCTTTCATCTTGGGTGAATAGACACCAGCCATAAAAATCTATTTAACACTGTATAATTGACCTGTAGAATATGTGACTTTGAAATTTCTCTTGAAAGCCAATTTAATGTTTCAATGGTAGCATTATGTGAAGTAAACAAAGAAACCAGAGTGACATAAATACATCCAGCCCTAGGAAACATGCAATACTTATTTTTAATGGATGATGAAGGCAAGGGACTTTGGAAAATGTTGTGGGCAAATATTGTTCTCTTGTCAGAATTCCATAATCATTACATTTATTGCCATTTTAGTACCCTCGTCTGTAACATTTAAGGAAAATTAGCTCTTTCCTACTACACATAGTATTTAATGTTTAGGGTTTTTTACTGTGAGCTGTAGGATAACATTCAGTGATATCACAACCTGTGATACACTAAACCTCCTTGAAATTTAAGTGTCTCTTGCCCTCACCATCAGAACCTTCCTTTGTTGTTGTTGTTGTTTTGAGTGTGTATAGGGTCTCCTGGAGGATACATTATCAAACCTGTTCTCCATGGGGCCTTGGCATCTTGTGGCATCTTAGGTAGCAAGTAGAAGAGGAACGTGAGTCCTATAGACTATTGTTGCTCCTCGTTAGCTTAGTGACTGGAAAGATATTTAACAGCTGACTAATGCTTTTTTGCTTTTCAATCATAGTTGCCTGAGATGTTCTTCATAACTTCTCCTCTAGTTTATGTTTTTACAGTTTACATATATAAAATTTATTTAAAGGTGACATTTTCAAAAGGAATCTACACATAGCTGGGGGAAAGTAAAGGTGTTAACTATTTTGTGGAGCTATACTGACATCTTTGGTTCGGTTCTGTTTGATCAAAATTCTAATGTAGAGATAGATAAATAAGAAGATGGACAGTTAAAGGGTTGGGATGAACATAGAATCATCCAGATGCATTAGTATCAGACTGTATGCTGTTTTGGACATAAACATATTTATGAGCAAAAAAGTTTACAAAGGCAAAAAAAGAAAAAGAGATTATGTCATCTCCACAATCTAAATATTTTAATGGCATTAATTGCATATGTAAATTGTTAATGAAACATTGAGATGCAAAGCTTGTATGATTAAACAGACAAAATTGCTCAGAGGCTTCTCCAAATGAGGAGCAAGGTGTGTTCTCCTTAGGACAAGAAACAACGAATAAAGGTATTTGGAGAATCAAGAAAGTTCACCTGCCCTCAAAATAAAAATTTAAAACCACACACCCGCCTCCCCAATATCCTCTGTTGTTAATATACCTGATCTGATTGCCATTTGCTTGGCGCTCCGCTAATACTTGTGTTTGGACGGTCTAGAGTACGGGTGGTGCAGACACATCCATGCCAGAGAAAAGCAAAGAAGTAATTTTTTTTTTTTTTTTTTTTTTTTAATTGCAAGAAGCAATTGCAGAATCCGCGTTTCTGGGATTGTGTTAGGGACGCAGGCGGATGAGATGGGGCTGATTACCTTAGGCTGGAAACAGAGAGTCTTTCTGCCCTGCGGGGGAGGGGACGCCTTTCATGCGCAGCCCTCCGCTCGGATGCTCCCTCCCTCGCATTCACTTGCAAATCGCTGTGTGCTGGCAGGAGCCGGCACTTCCAGGCTCTAACCTTCCCTTGGCGAGTGCTGCAGCTCCATCAGCAGAACCTTTCTCTCCGAGTGAGGAAGGGCTTTCCCACCCCCTCCCTCTCCCCCCCCACCTTCCTTAATCAGAATCACTGAATGAAAGCCAATCAGAGAGAGAGTTCGCCCCGTTTTCTTCGGTTCCCTGCCGTCCAGAGTTAAAAGTGACGCTGAGAGAAAGCTTGAGTTAGACCGAAGTAGAATCAGCGATAGAAAATAACAGCAGAAAACAAACAAAAAGGGGACAGGGTGACAGTCTCTTCAGGGTTATTTTGGCTGGAACCAACTTCCGTTTTCCAGAAGCTGATGAAACCAGGTAGGAAGAATTCACCTCTTGTCTTTTAACTCCTTTAAGGTCTCGCCTTTTCTTCCCCTGCTGTTGGGGGGGAGATATGTTTTCGCTTTTATGTTTTTTTTTTTTCTTAAGGTATATGCGAAATTATTTCAAAATCATGACCTTTTACTAAGCAAATGAGCATGCAACTCCTTTTTCGAGTTTCCTGGAACAACTGCTTTGAATGTAGGTAATGTGAAGCTTGATAAATAATATATTATGTTCAACAGTGTGGGTCTGGATATTGGAGTTTTCGAATTCATTCATTCTGAGCAATTGCAGAAAATATTTACGGAGTGTAATTAGCCATGCTCATTCCTGTTTACCCTCTGTTTAAAATATCAGTTTAGCAGGAGCACTGTTTGCCATGAACTCTAACATCAGACAGCATTACTTTGCATTCCATATGAACGGATTCACTCCTCACTTAGTCATAGTCATAGTTCATTGTACCTTCAGTAGAAAGAGAAATGACAGACAGAGGACAGATGATGCCTAGAAGCTGTTAGTGGTCACTAAGTATCTACATAAAGACAGTAGATTGACATCCATCAGAAACAGGATGGGTACAATTCCTATGTTCACATTTTATATGAGTCAGAAATATGAGGGGGTACAATAAAAAGGGGGGAGATTAAACACACGCAGTCAGCAGTTGCAGCATTTATTGTCTTTGCTGCAATAAAATCCATATTTTATATGGTGTTAAATTAATGCAGCATGTTGCAAGTCTAAATGAATGTCCTCAACAAGTAACTATGATAGCACTGTAAGCATGGGCCAAAGCAATAGTCTGCAAGTGTTTTCAGGCCACCACAATAAAAGCCAACTACCTCTTTACCATTAAAAGGGGAGAGTCTATAGGTACAGACAAACATCATTTTAAAACTGACCTATCATCGCTTGCCTTCAAAAAGCAGATCTATTTCCTACAATTGTGGTCCTTCATTCCAGTAAAAGCTTCTATTACCCAAAGCTGTGCATGCATTACTTCTCAGCTCTTTGGAGATGCATTATTTTTTTTTCCATCTCATTTTTTTTCTCTTGAAAGATCTATTTTAAAAATAATCTGTCCCTGTGATGCTGACAACTGTTATACTTCAATGCATATGTTAGGAGACTTTCTCCCTTCACACCATCCCCCTCTGTCTTTCTCTAAAACGTACTTACAAGAGCTTCACTGTGGCAAAGAACACTTGGCAAGAGTGTGCTCATTTTTTTTTTTAGGTCTGGTATGGTGAGGATTTTTAATTAGTGGAACTTTCATGAAAACATTATGTCATTGACAGAGCTGCATGTTCATTTTTAGTTACAGTGAGGAAGGAAATGGAAGAGAGTGTGTCCTAGAGAAATGGGTAAATGATAAGTTGCATGGGTAATCTGCACCCCCGGGTGGTAAATGGGGCACATATGTATTCAGTGTGCAGAGCGGGAGGGATTGCTGGTTTATTTGGGCAGAGAGAGGTGAATGGATTGAAAAGTGAACAAATGTAAACAGCCTGTGTATGTGGCCAAGGGGCACATCAATTGCAAAACCATCCCAAGGGTAAGAAGATAGAGGATTGCTTCTTTCTGCTCTTACTTTTTTTTTCTTCTTCTTTCCTTGACTATGTTTTTAAAGTCTGACTCACTGTCTGCTTGCCTTAAAGCAGACACTTCTTTGGTTTCAAAGACTTGCTGTTAACAAATTGATTTCAGTGGTGAACGCATCTTCTTTCTCTGCCTCCAAAGAATGGAATGACATACATTTTGATGGGGGGGGGGGCAGGGAAAACTGGGAAAACCAAATGGCAACAGTGTGAACCCATGTACCTATACATATGTGCAAATAATGGTTAAATTACCAGATGCCTGATTAATTCTCCAGGTGAGACTACTTCCTCTTTACAAAAACCAGTGTTCATTAAGAAGCCCAGCACAATGCAGACGTGGAAGGCAGTGCCCCACTGTCAGATTTTTTAGTTATTTTTTTAACCCTACACTGGGATATCAGTGGTGAAAAAAAGATTTTTTTGTGTGTGTAGAAAGATATACAGTTCTGATACACTATTAAGGAACTTCGTGGAATATGAAAAAGGTATATCTATATATATCTATATATGTCTGTATGTCTATACTTTCTTATTAGAATTGTAACGTGTGAAACTGGAATGATTAATTGTGAAAGATGTGAATTCTCATCGGACTACAAGGTGAAGAACTTGACTTTTACTTGGTTTCCCATATAAGCAAACAGTGAAGGCAAAGTGTATAGATCTGGCAGATTTCTTGTCACATTGCTGTTTCCTGTGCCTCTTAACCTACTTTGCAGTAAGAGATACAGCACCACGTTCTCTCGGAGTATGTCATTTTTATACCACAAGCCACCACGAGGCGGCAACACAGGCACAGCTTTGGACAGATGATGCTGAATCAGCAGCTGTGAAGCACATATTTGTTCAAGTGTTCTAAGGAGTCTTCCTAAGGCACAGGAAGCAATTAATAGAGACCAAGGTTATGTGAACTCAACTACCTCAGTCTAGACCTTAGGTTTCAAGAGCATCAGCCATCATGTATTATTATTTCTACTCTGTAAGTCGCATCCTGCTGATGTCACGTTACAAGTGGTTCTAAAATAGTGGCAAGTACAAATAGAGAAATAGAAATATTATGTGTGCCAATTATAGGTAATTAAATTCAGTTATTTAATTTCTAAATGTTAGACCTATCTTTTTTGATAATTGTTTTCGATTAATCTGAAATATTGTGAAGAATATGGTGCTCAAATAAGAGCCCACTTGCTATGTATTCGATTGTAATGAAGTGGGTGGAAGATAAAAAGGAAGTCTGGAGAAAGATCACCTCTTATCTGTTCTCACTGGTGCTGAAGCTGGTCAAACATTGCTTCAGCTACCATCTAGAGGTAACTATACTGAGGATTTGAATAAAAAGAAAACTATTCAATGCAAAGTTGCAAAAAGAAAGCTGACATAGGACACTCTATATTGATGTACATGACGGTCAAGTCAGTGAGTTCATCTAGACAAGAAACTGTAATGTGTAGAACAAGAAAATGCCTTTCTTTGTGTGTCTTTAAAGCAGTGGGATCATGTTCACAGAATGTACTTCTAACCTTCTATTGCTTTTAAATGAACAAGTTCAGTTTTGTTTGTTTGTTTGTTTGTTTTTCAGTCAACAAGCAATGCCTGTTTCCATGATGGCAGTGCTAGCATAAGGTCACCTTGGTAGGCATTCTGACTCAGTGATAGATTTACTCCTTACTTGACATTTTGCTCTGAGCCCTTGAGCCATTCCAGATCAGTGCCTGTCTTTCCTCTCTGGGTGGCTGCCTAAAGCAGAAGGCCATGCTGCTTTTGCCAGCCCTTCCTTGCCAACATTCAGTCCAACTCACCCTCACCCACACGCAGGGCTGCAAAACCAGGTCTATCGCTTTAACGTGATAGATGTCTCTTGAAGTAGAACAGTGAAATATTAGCATCAATCTGTCAAAAATAATCTAGCAGGTCTTAAACGTGGCTTTTTAACACAACTTTTGCTTAATTGTTTATTATCAATGCAGCTTCTCAGAGAAAGATGGTTTTTTTGTGGAATTTTTTTTTTTTAAAGAAAATTACTGATTCCTTTATAGTTTTGTTCTGTTTCTTTGTTCCTGAATGTGTGATGTACTAGCCTCGCTATTACTGAGGACATTTTTCTTAAGCTTTAACTGTTCTGGAAGTAGACTTTTAAAAAGAAAACTGAGCATTGAATATGAGTGAGTAAAATCAAATCACAGCCTACATCATTTCAGAGACAACATTCCTTAGAAATAATGCCTGCTTGTGGGAGGTTGAAATGCCTTCCTGTAGCAATCTCATGCAGCTAAGAGATTCATATTCTTAAGGAGTTTGTTAGTAACACTATAAAGCACTTTACCAAATCATGTGATTTCAGTGTTCAGTCTTTATTTTTTTCAGATAGCAGCCTCTATGTGCTGCAGCTTTATAAATTAATGTTAAATGACATTTCAGGCTTCAGGACAGGATGCAGTAGTAGGCTGAAAGATGTAATACAACATTGTCTCTCATCAGGGATTCTAGCATTAAATGACATGTCTAAACACTTAGAGCATGGCTGATCCTCATAAATTTAACCGAACATTTTCACAACTCTCTCGCTTTTTTTTCTTCCCCCTCTCCCTTAGCACCTATCTGCTCTCCCTTCCTCTCTCTCCCCTCTTCTCTCATTTCTGGTAGTTACAAATGTCCATTTGTATTTAATATTATACCTACTGGTGTTTCTATAGCTTTTATGAGTTTCATGGCCAGCATCCCCACATTCACTGCACCTTGTATTGGATTCTCTGCCTCATCATGTGCACTGTAACATGCATGACACTTCTGTTGCCCAGAGCATGTCCTGTAAACTGAAAGCAATCCTGTTGACTCGGAGCCTTCCGAGGAGTTGAAACTAGTGCCAGCGCAGTTTCCTGAGCATTCAGTTTTCATTAACAGAATGACTTCTGCAAATAATCAGCAAGGAGACTGCATAGTCATGAATTATGATTCCCAGTCCATCAGTTATTGATTATGAGGCTGTGTTGATTTAGTGTAAGAAGAGAATATTGAAGTGGCTTGACAGAGCTCTGATTTTAAAAATAAATCAAATGTAAATTGCATGCTTCCAGAAAGCCGTATTCCATTAAACGTGTTGATTCTTCTCTGCTGTGAAAAACAAGTACACCAGCTGCTAACCTAGGAAAGGAAACTGGTAGGTAAGGAGGAATTTCTGTCCCCATATTGTCAGATAAAGGACTACCATTGCTCCTCAGAGCTCCGGGTGGAAACGTGGATAAGAAAGTAGAGCAACAACCAGGTTAAGCAGAATGTGTGACAAACTGAAATAATGAACAAGTAAATATTTTAACTTGAGCTATTTTGGTAATTCTCTAAAGTGTTAACCCAGTAGGTATAAATACAGGAAATTTGAAAGAGCTGTCTGAA